GGTCCAAAATACCGGATCATTAAGTAACGAGTATATACCGGTACCGCTAGTTTACACCATGTATATGACTAAAGATAGGTAAATCCTACCACAAAGACGAAAAATTAGCACTGGAAAAGACGTAAACACCGTCGGATTGATTTGAGATCCTCAGTCTCACGAGACATCGCGAGAGTGTGGCTGATCCAGGGTTGTGATTGGTCAACAAACTCAAATCAGGTCAGAGGTCAGTCATTTTCCCTTCCCTCCATATCGGCGGCCTTTGTTGCTTTTGTGTTGTCTGTATTTTGCCGCGTAAGCCTCCGGGCTGCGCGGAGTTAATTTGTTTGCCATGCCACGTGGTAAGACCAGTAAGGTCTGGGAACACGTAACAACGCTGCCAGGGGGCCAGACCGTACGGTGTAACCTGTGTAATTGTACCATTCCGTGCAGCGGTGGAACGTCCAACATAGCAAAACATTTACGCCGTCATCACAAGATTGAGACAACTCCACATGCCTCTGCAACGACCATTGCTTCAATGTTCAACATTAAGGGTAAGTTTTTGTTAAGAATGTAGTCTCTGAGATAAAATATGGGCCAAAATTAAAATGTTTTAGTTGTCATCTCTGGACAGCGGAACTAATACGCACTAGATCTCAGTGAGGCGGGCGAGTTTTGGCTTGTATCTCACTGGTGCTAAATGAGCTGAATTAAGTACTCAATTAATTTGGAGGCCACCCTAAACACCATCAAATATTTTATTCGTCTTCGCAAGTACGTGCCAGTTGACAGGCTTCAGGCAGACGCTCTTTCATGCTTTGGAGTGGGGAGGGGGTTCGTTTGTCACGAACTCACTGACACTGTAGACTAGATAATTGTATAAGGACTTGAAGAAGCAGAGTTTTCTTTCCCCCGAAGAAAGAATGGTGTTTACAAAAATCTCGGTAACATTGCCTGTCTTTGCCAAAAAAATGGTGTAATATAATAGAAGAAATCTGATTCTATGTTTTTTTTTCCTTCAGCCGAAGACAATGCGTCCACACCGTCCAGTCACTCCAGTGACTCCTGTCACTCCAGTGAGTCCAGTCTGTCTACTAGTAGTCGCTCCAGTGAGACTCCACCCCCCCTTCCATGCATGGAGTCTACTTCAAGTACTGTGGGGGCTAGTCCAGACTCCACACACTCCACATGCTGTTGCCAGTACGTCAGGCAGTTCAACTTCAGCCAGTGCCGTGACAAGGATAACACCTTTCACTTTGGCCAAACAGGCCAAAATGCCTGAAGAAAGAAAACACCGCATCACAATGAGAGCATGTCATTATCTAGTCAAGTCCTTAAGGCCGTATTCAACAGTACAAGATCCATATTTCAAGGCACTAGTTCAGGAACTAAACCCGGCCTACAAACTTCCAAGCCGAGATGACGTTGCAGAGAGGATAATCCCTAGCATGTATGATGTCGCACTGAAGGCCCTGAAGTCAGATCTGAGTGATGTGGAGTGTGCTGCACTGACAGGTGATGGATGGACATCGAGGGCCACAGACCACTTTCTCACCATCACTGTCCATTATATCAAGGACTGGCAACTGAATGTGAAAGTATTACAGACCCTGAAAGCAGATGTTGCACAAACAGGAGAAAACATCGGCATAGAAATAGAAGACTGCCTGAAGGAGTTTGGGTTGACTGACAAGGTAGAAGTCATGACTACTGACAATGCCAAGTCTATGGTAAATGCCACGCAAAAGGCTGGGGTCCGTCTGTCCATGGGGTGCTTTGCCCACACCTTGAATTTATCGACACAGAAGGTGATGGCTGTGGAATCTGTCTCTGCCATGATAAGCATGATTAGGCCGGCCATCACATATTTCAGGAGTTCCTATATGGGCAAAATCGTGCTGAAAGAAAAACAAACAGCTCTTCATCTCCCCGAACACCGGCTACTCCTCGACTGCAAGACGAGATGGAATAGTACGTATCTCATGCTGGAGCGATTCCAGACGCAGTACCCTGCCATTGTTGCTGCTTCCATGGATGAAAGACTGAAAAACAAGGAGGGATTCAAGAAGCTGCAAAAATGCGACAGTGACACTGTGGAAAAGATCCAGACCTTCCTTCGTGTGATGAAGATTCCCTACCTAATCACGGTGGCCATGTCAGCAGAAAAACGCCCCACCTGTGGTCAAGTTCTCCCCATGATGGACAAACTGAGAAAGCATCTCAGTCCAGACGAAGAAGCTGACGATGCGTTCGCCTGTGACATCAAAGCTGTCATCCTAAGTGACCTGGAAACACGCTACCAGGATACAGACAGAGTGGAGTTCCTAGAAGAAGCCTCTGCCATGGATCCTAGATTCAAGGGAATGGCCACAGATGAAGTCTGGGAAAGAGTGGTTACTGCCATTGACTCTAGACAAGAGGTCCACGTCAAAAAGGAGCCCAATGACGTCACATTCACACCCACAGCCACGGCTGCCAGTGCTGCCACGCAGTTGGAAACGAAGACACAGAACGAGGAAGTCCCTGCGAAGCTGGCAAAGCTATCTGCTATGGAAGAGATCTTCGTGGATGACGATGATGATGTAGAGGTCCTTCACGTGGAACCACCTTTACCAGTCAGAGTTAGGGCACAGCAGGAAGTACACACTTATAAAAACCTTCCCAAACTCCGCTCCACCGATGACATTGTGGCCTTCTGGAAGGAAAGAAGCCTGAGCCTTCCACTGTTGAGTGGCCTGGCCAAGCGTTACCTGGTTGTACCTGGAACGAGTGTTCCTAGTGAGCGGGTATTTAGCACAGCTGGAGACTTAGTCTCCGCTGAAAGAGCCTGCTTAGATCCGGACAATGTTAATGTCCTACTTTTTCTGAACAAGAACACTTAAGTTACTGATAGAAGTTAGACCACTTTGTGACCTTCTACTAGGCTCCTACTCCATTTACGTAACATACATTTTGTTATATCTAGTTTTTGTCAGTAAGTGAGTCTGTGAGTCTGACTCTGAGATTAAGTGACTGAGAGATATACTGTAGTCTCCGCTGACAGAATGTAAATGTCCTAGACAGTCCTACTGTTTCTGAACAAGAACACTTAAGTTACTGATAGAAGTTAGACCACTTTGTGGCCTTCTACTAGGCTCCTACTCCATTTACGTAACATACATTTTGTTATATCTAGTTTTTGTCAGTAAGTGAGTCTGTGAGTCTGACTCTGAGATTAAGTGACTGAGAAGTGAGATAGGAAACATAGTTTAACTTAGTTATGTTTGATGTTTTCTGAATAAAGATACTGACAAGTTGTCAAGTTCAATGTCAACACTTTATTATTGTTTCTGTGTCATGATTGAAAAAGTGAAGAACACGTGTTAATTTGTCAAATTGTTCAGGTACAGGTACAGGTCCGGACCTGTACCTAAACCTCTGTACCGGTACCTGTACCTGTACCTGATGTTACGTTTAGGTACGCAGCCCTAGTGGGAGGCGATCTAAATGCGCGAGTAGGAACCCTAAACGACTATATAATAGATGATTCTCCTTTAGACACACAAACGCTGCCCATTGACTATAATTTTGATCACCCCCTCCCCAGGGCTAGCATGGATGATGGTCAAAGTTCCGCATTTGGAAAAAATCTAATAGATCTTTGTATTAACAGTAAACTTAGAATATTAAACGGTAGAACACCCGGCGACCTCCTTGGGAAGCCAACATGCTACCAACCTAAGGGTTGTAGCGTTGTTGATTATGTTTTAGCAAGTGAAACCATCCTACTCCGTAAAACAACGTTCTTTCATGTTCACACGTTATCGCCATTTTCCGACCACTGCAAACTTTCTTTATTGCTAGAGAACAACCCCAACTTACCTAAACAAAGTGAATCTAAATTACCAACACGGCCTTTTCATAAATTTATCTGGAATACAGACTCAAAAGAAAAGTTTGTCAATATAATCAATTCAACATTGTTCTCATCAAAAATTAACAAATTTATGCATAATAATTACCAGTCGACACCAGAATCTTTAGACACTGCGTTACAGGACTTTATAACCCTGCTGCAGGAGGCCGGAAGAAATTCTTTGTCCTTGCGCATAACAAAAAAACGAAAACAGCAGTGCAAGAAACAAAAGAGTAGAAAAAGACCAATCATGCGCATCGGCCAGACAAGAACTAAAAAACTTAGGTAGACTACTCTCGAAAGACCCTCGCAATCCTTCCCTCAGAGGTTCCTATTTCAATAAGAAAAAAATGTACACAAGACTTATACGCAAAACCAAAAAAGACTTCAAAAATAATATTCTAAAACAACTCAACTCTTACTCTGACAACAACCCTTCATCATTTTGGTCACTTCTAAAAGACTTCAAATCCAACAGCACTAGTAATATAAATACACAAGAACTAATCTCTGATGAAAAACTCAATTCACACTTCAAAAACCTTTATGGTAAAGAATCCACCCCCGGCCCCAACGTTTCAATATCACCCAGCAGCTTCGAAATGGAAATAAAAACAAATTATTAAAGTTAGAGAACGATTTAAAAGAAAACCCCCTCGACAACCCAATTCTTAGTAATGAGATCATTAAAGCAATTTCTAGCCTTAAAAATGGAAAAGCCTCAGGTAGCGATCTAATTCTTAACGAGATGTTAAAGTGCTCTCCTCACACTCTTATCAAGCCCCTCACCAAACTATTTAATCTTTTTCTTTCCTCTGGATATTTCCCCCAGAACTGGTGCACTAGTCATATTGTTGCCCTTCATAAGGGCGGACCAAAAGATGACCCTAGTAATTACAGGGGTATTTCGGTCACCAGCTGCCTAGCAAAACTATTCACATCAATTTTAAATACACGCCTAACAACTTTTTTAGATGATAATAAACTAATCTCCCCCAACCAGGCCGGCTTCAGAAAACATTTCAGTACAAATGATAATCTCTTTGTTTTAGACTCGCTAATTACAAAATATTTCCATAACAACAAACGCCTTTACTCATGTTTCATAGATTTTAGAAAGGCATTTGACACTGTCTGGAGAGAAGGTCTCCGTTTCAAATTACTAAATTCGGGAATAGGGGGGAATTTCTATAAATTAATCAAATGCTTATATTGTAAACCAGAAACTTGCGTCAAAACAAAATCTGGCCTTACACCGCCATTTGTGACAGACAAAGGTGTCCGACAGGGGTGTAACTTGAGCCCCACCCTTTTTAATTTATTTATTAATGACTTAGTGAAAGAGTTAGATAATTCAGAATGTATGCCACCTTCTTTATATAATCTATATGTCTCTTGTTTATTGTATGCCGATGATGTTGTAATACTTTCAGAATCAGACAAAGGTCTACAATCGGCCATAGATAGATTAAGTAACTTCTGCGACAAATGGAAACTCCAAGTAAATTTGAAAAAAACTAAAGTTGTTATTTTTAACAAAGCAGGTCGTTCATTTCCAAAGCAAAAGTTCTACTTTGAAAACAATACAATAGGCAACGTTACCTCCTACTGCTATTTAGGCCTAACCCTTACATCATCAGGTAGCTTCACCCTAACTAAAAAGCAGCTATCACTGAAGGCACGCAAAGCCATTTATAGTTTCAAATCTAT